ACTTGCAATTTTTTTAAAACCAACAATTTCTCCCGTCATGTTTCAATAGCTCGTCCCCTTTCCGTTTTGTTTATTAAAACTTACGTTCGTGCAGTGTGTAAGCTTATTAAAACAGAACCGGAAACTTTTAGTATCCTCTTTCATCTAGTTTCTTTTTTTTAATTACTTATGTAGAACCTCCCTCTCGGCCTGTGTGACCAACCTCGCCGGCTCCAGCAACAACTACGAACCTTTCTTGGTCATTCTGTGTGTCCCACCATATTAGTCTTCGTTTTGAGTAAATCACACTCCGCATCTTCTGGTTCCACCTGCGACTTCAACAACGCAACATTGAATCGTCTCTTTCCGCCCTGCTTGAAAGAAGAGCTGCAAATCGCGCACATTGACTTCAACCCGGTTGCAGCTTCGATAATGACTAGGGCGCTAACTCGCGTTGCAACATTAGCTTCAGCGGAGGTAGGTCTTTTTCCACAATGCAGGTCCGCCTCTTTTAGGGGACCCAACAATTTATACGGGCCAACTCTCTAGCATCTATAGTTCAATACAGAGCGGGTCCCGGCACAGTTAGATACCAATTTTTTACATGTTTTTAAGTTATAATTTGCAAACGTTACTCCTTGCAGTCGTTACACTTGCGACCATGACACCAATTATTCAGTAAGTAAATAAAAGCGCCACATACCGTCAGCATGACTTTCGAGCAATCCCTCAGCTGCCATTTGTTACACAGGACAAAAGAAAAACACTGTACGTACATCAGCTTCTCAAACCTCCTGTCTATGATGTTGCAATTAGGAGCCATGAAGTTGTCTAACTGGCTCGCTCCCACCAATTTCCTGGAGGGACCCCTCGAATCCGGTATGACCGCAAGATACACTTATTTTTGAAACACACACGTGCTTCACAATCAAGACTGTTCTGTGGATTATTAGTTTCCTTCCGCATTGGAATAGTGCATCGAGTTTCGGGCCGACCTAACGCAATGACTAGAAGCCAATTGTAATTTTCTAAGTGAGGTGGCATCCTAATGATAAACCTCCTTTCAATTGCTGAAATCAGGGTTAATGTTAATAGATGGGTATTACATGACCTTTGACCTTTTAACATGACCCTTTACCTTATCATTTGCCCTCCGTGAATGGAGCCATTTTTGCTGAAAGTTCAGGATTTTACAATCCTCAATATAGCATTCTTCTTCTTATGACTTCGCCTGTTTTTATAGGGTGTTTTCTTCAAAAACAGGGTTGTACGTCACCCCCTTGCTAGGGGTTTGTTGTAGTTTTTGACTGTTACATTTCCCTTTGTTCTTCCTGGCCTTCGGGAGGTTGGTAATTTATGGTTTCCTAAAAATCCATCTTATTATCATCTCTTATGGTTTTTTTCATAAAGTTTGACCCGAAAAAATTTTATTATCAATATTAAAATAACGTCTTTCTATATAGTTTCAGTTTCCCGCTCCTCCTAGACAGTTCATACAGGGGCTCGCAGCCTCAAGTGCTGGTGACCTTAGACTGGCACTGAATAATCTTCAATTCCTTATGACACGAGGTATGCCCGATTTTCCGATTCAGCGAACAGAATAAATATAAAAATGTTCACTTCTAACATATTTTTTGTCAATCGTTTGCAAGGATTTTGCAACCTCTTCATACAGCAAGCAGTCTATGCAAGTCTCGACAAAATTGCATACAATTAAGTTATCTTTACTGTGTTTGCATTTTCGACCGTTTTTTTGCCTCTAGAGAAGATTTCCAAAGATCTGCAAATTTCGAATAGTTTATTCGAAAATATTTGTGTGTCCTTCACCATCGAAATGCTACTCCGACTCGTTGTATCTAATTATAATATAACCTTGGTGGATCCATAAAGATGACTATGAGACGACCACCGATCGTGTTACAGAACCCGTTTGTCCCGTTGTGCCTTATAGATTGATCTAGAGACCCGCAAGAATTTTCGCGGCGACTATGTATATAGTCAAGTTGAGATTTGCGACAAAGGCAAGAGAGCCCGGAATGGTCGCTCCTGTCTTATTAGCCGTCGTTAACCCGCTACGTGCTACCTCCGGTGTTTACTGTCTGGGATTCGAATCCAAGATCTTCGATCGTTGCGTCAAACGCTCTAACAGTTGAGCCATGTGCTCGTTTTCCTGTTGGTTTTGATCGGGAAGTGCGTTCACCGATCGCTTTACAGAACATGTTCGTTCCGTTGTGCTTTGGAGCTGGGTCTAGAGGCTCACATGAAGTCGGACAGCGAAGGGTAATACAGGCAGAAGGGGATTATCGACAAATACGGGGGGGGGGCTGTGAT